GATGGGGGGGGTGTCGTTGCGCCCGTCGTTGTTCACGAGGGATGACATTCCGGTGGCGGATTACTTTACGCAGAGAGACACGGGGGCGACGACGACGCGCGAGGTTGATTTTCACGAGATTGCGGTGCCCACGCGGGGTTTGGATATGGAAGAGGCGTCACCAGAGGCGTCGAGGGCGATGCGCGCGTTGATGGCGGAGCGGGAGATGTGGGCGCCGCTCGCCGCGTTGGCGCGTTTGCCCAAGGATGTCGCGGATGAAATCCTGGCTCGAAAGCTGCACGCGATGTGCAGCTATTCCTTCGCCAACGGGCCGTTCAAGAGGCTGTGGATCAAAGTTGGCGTCGATCCACGTTTTGATCGCGCGTACGTCCGCTCGCAAACGATCACGGTGCGCCTGCCCTCGAACTGGTTCCAGGACGACGATCCGGAGGGCGCTCGGCGCAAGGCGCGCTTCGCCTCGTGCTCGCGCTCGGATCGCGGCTACCACGACGCCGTGCACGGATTTAGGTCCATACCAGACGTTCGTCATCCCGTGCTCACGCTCGCAGACGTCGCACTTCCGAGCGTGCGAGCCGCCGTTGAGCTCGCCGCGGCGTCCGCCGACCACTCGAGCGCGTGCGACGAGCGCCGAGGCTGGCTCCCGCACGGACTCCATCGCAAGATTCAGCGCGCCATCGTTCGCGGATACCAAGCGCTGTTGGACGGAGACGACCCAATCACCGCGGACGAGGCCTCGATGGGCGCCCCCGACGACGCACACGTCGACGATGACGCCTCGCCGAGTCCCGCCGCGGCGCCCGATTCGCCCCGCGCGGACGCCGACGCGCTCGCCGAGTACGAAATCCTCGGCGATCAGGACGACTCCGAGGACGAGTACGAGTGAATCACGCCCAGTATCATTCGCACTGTATCATCACCGCACGCCGTGTATCATCACCGAGCGCTTCTGCGCCTCCGTCCCGTCGACGCCCGGGGCGTTCGCGCGAACGCGTCCCGACGTCTCAACCCTCATGCTCGAGCGTCACCGAACCGCACTCCCGCGCGCGCGCGCGCCCCCGCGCGCCGCCGCCCACGTCGAGCGCGTCGATCGCGATGTCCTTCGTCCTTCGAGCGTCTAGATGCGCCCTCGCGCGCGTCACCGCGAGCACGAGCGCGTTGACCATCGCATCGCGCGCGACGCCGACGCCGTGCGCGCGCGCGCTCTGGACGACGCCCTCGACGCGCGTCTCGCACGGCTTGGACGCGTTCGTCGACGCGAACCGAGACGCGAAGACGAACGTGGGACGGGGGTGGTTGGCGAGCGAGTTGCGGAAGAAATCGCACGAGGACCTGCACGCGCTGTGGCACGCGCTGGTGCGCGAGCGAAACATGCTGCTGACGGAGAAACATTTGGCAAAGGTGAATCGAGAACCCATGCGAGCGCCGCAGCGAATGCGTTTGGTGCGAAGGAGCATGGCGAGGATTAAGTTGGTGCTCACGGAGCGAGCGATCGAGGAGGCGGGGGAGGATAAGCAGTTGTTGTTTGAGCTCAAGCGGCTCATCAACGCGAAATAGACTTTGGGTTCGCGCGCGCCGCGGACGTTCTAGCGCTATGTAGTAGAGTTACAACGACACAACTTTTTGACGACGATAAGAAATCGACCTACGTCACCGCGGTGGAGATAAAGGAGGAGACGCGACGCGCGAGGTCATCGTCGTCGTCGTCGTCCTCTCCGCCGAGCGGAATCAGCGCCGACGCGATACCCTCCTCTCGCTTCTCCATCGCGCCGCGAAGGATCGGAGGCGATCTTAAATCGACTAAACACGAACATCCAGTGAATTGGATATCGTTCTCGACGCCTATGCGATTCGCGCAAATGAAGTGCGTTCCGTTCGGCTCCCGCTTTCCGATTAGCGGTCGCAGCCTGGCGAGCCAATACGTGACGGTTTCCGCAAAATCTATAGGCGCACGTTTCACCTCGATATCATCGTCCGGATGCGCGTTCGTCCACGCGCTGCTGAATAAAATGAGTTCGCACCCCGCGCACGCGTTCGCCAGCTCGTACGCGTCCCACGGAGCTTCGAATTTGTACGGGTTTATGTCCATGCAAATCGCCGACGCGCACGTCACTCGTCGCGTCACCTCTCCGATGACCCCTCGGTCGTCTTCGGCGAAACAGCGTAGATCGAGCTCATACGTCTCAAATCCCTTGCCCTCGCCGCAACCCCACTCCTCGTCCACGCAGTACAGATGCGACTTGTCGTAGACGTGTCGCGCGACGCCGTTCGCGTCCACCACCGTCTGCGAGTTATACACCTTCTGCGTCTCCGGGTCCTCCCTCGCGTGTCCCACCGCGACGTGCGCGTTCAAATATCTCGCCACCCGTCCCGCCCACGCCACGATCGCTGTTTCCCACCTCGCGCACGCCCGCGCGCGCTCTACCGACGTCAAACAATACGTTGAAAATCCCAGCTCTGGACACACGAGCACACCGATCCCACTCGTCGCGTCCATCGTCCGCGTCACCGTCTCCCACGCCCGGGCGAGGTTTCCCTCGACGTCACCGTTCCCTGGGTCCGTCTGCAGCGCGCACGCGCGCAGGATCACCCGTCGCATGTCGCGCTCTGTCGCCGTGAGGCTTGAAAAAACCACTTCATCTTCACCGGCGGCGCGACGTTTCGTCTCCCCACACCCCGACGCCGCCACCGCGCGCGCGCGCGCTCGGACATGATCTCCAGCATCGCCTGGGTCCCCCCCGGCGCGGCGTCCGAGCGTCCGAGACGCGCGGACGTCCCCGAGGAGGAGCTCGAGCGGTTGGCGGCGCGCGCCGCTCGACGAACGAAATCAACGAAATCCGCTCGCGATGACGACGACGACGACGACGACGACGAGAGCACCGACGACGACGACGATGACTTTGACGACGACGACGACGCCGAGTCGGATTGGGAGGAGATGGCGGCGGACGACGAGGATTTGGACGACGAAGACATCGACGCGATGGCGGCTGACGAAGAGGACGCGAAGAAAAAAACGTCGGGCGCGGTGGCCAAGGCGCTGGCGGTGGCGAAAGCGGCGAGAGGGGTGAGCGATGACTTGGCCGAGTTAAACATGGAGGCGTACGACGACACGGACGAGGAGGAGGAGGCGGCGACGGGGAGATTGTTTGGCGGCGGAAAGTTGACGCACTACGAAGGAAACGAAGAGGATCCGTACATGACCATTAAGGATTCGGACGATGACGAGGAGGAGGAGATGCCGGATGATTTGATCACGGCGGAGACGGATCTGTTGATCTTAGCGGCGAGGACGGATGAGGACGTGTCGCACTTGGAGGTTTGGGTGTACGAGGAGGCGGGCGTGACGGGGAGCGAGGAGACGAACCTGTACGTTCATCACGACGTACTCCTGCCGGCGTTTCCGCTGAGCGTGGCGTGGATGAACTGCTCACCGAAGAGTGGGACGGAGGAGGTGAACTGCGCGGCGATTGGGACGATGTATCCGGGGATTGAGATTTGGGATTTGGACTGCGTCGACGCCGTAGAGCCGGTGACGACTCTCGGCGGGTACTCGGAGGAGGCTATCAAGTCTGCGGGTAAGAAGAGCGGCAAGAAGGACAAGAAGGCGTCCAAGGCGCTCAAGGGGGGATCACACGAGGACGCGGTGATGGGTCTGTCGTGGAATCGCGAGTTCCGAAACGTTCTTGCGTCGGCGAGCGCGGACAAAACGGTGAAGATTTGGGACGTCGCCACGGAAACAGCCAAGCACACTTTGAACCATCACAAAGACAAGGTTCAGGCGTGTGAGTGGAACCCGACGGAGCCCACAGTTTTACTCACCGGCTCTTACGATAAGACCGCGCAAGTCGTGGACGTTCGTGCGCCCGATAATGCCTCTCTCACTTGGAAGGTAGGCGCTGACGTCGAGAGCGCGATTTGGCACGCGAGCGCGCCGACGCAGTTCTTGGTGTCGAACGAAGATGGTATGGTGATGTGCTTCGACAGTCGCATGGGTTCGAAGTCTGACGCTCTGTTCAAGCTCCAAGCGCACGACAAGGCGACGACGGCGCTGAGCATGGTGACTAGTGCGCCTGGTTTGATGACGACGTGCTCGACGGACAAGGTGATAAAGTTGTGGGATCTGAACGACGGCAAGCCCTCCTTGTTGTGTCAGCACACTCCCCAAGTTGGAGCGATCTTTGCGTGCGGGTTCTCACCGAACATTCCCTACCTCGTCGCCGCCGCCGGTTCCAAGGGCACTGTGGCGGTGTGGGACATCATGTCGGAGGCCGTCGTGCGGGACAAGTACGGAAGCCATTTCGAACAGTTTTATCGAGTCAAGTAATATGATGAATACACGAAACGAACAAATCGACTATTATAAGCTAGATTAACTAACGCGCGTTCAGCTCTCTCGTCAACTGCGAGTACTTCTCTTGGAGAAGTTTCTCTCTCGCGCGAGCCGCTTGCACCAACTCGAGCCAGTATTCAATTCGTTCCGGAGCGGCGCGTTGCTCTTGCTCGTGTAACATTGCGAAAGACTCGGCTTCTATCGCGAGTGACTGGATTTCATCCACAGTCTTTTTGAGCTTTTGGCGCAGCTCGCCGTCGCGCTTCTGAAGACCCGCAGTGAGCAGATTACACTTTTGCTCCAACTTGGAGGCGCGTTTGGCGTCCTTCTCCATATCCCTTCGCAGGCTTTCGAAGCACGCCTTGGCGGCTTCAAGGCGCTGTTCTTCTGTGGCTTCATCGACGGAAATATTCGAATTGAGGCTAGGGACGAAGATGTTTTTCTTGCGTTCTTCAACGAGCGCCGCGATGAAGGCGTCCGCGAAGTCTTCGCGAGAACTATTCTGTTCGCGAAGCATTTCCTGCGCTTCGGCCTCAATGAGTTCACGGGCGTTCGTCATTAATGACTCATCAAACTCTTCAATACTCACCGCTGGTCTCGTATTCTTACTGTATTTGGCGACATCGTGAGCGAGCAAGTCCGTCGCTTCGTCGTTCACCAGTTTGGACATGGCGTCCCCGGCGAGCGGCTCGACGACTACCATTTCGGTCGGCCGAGGAAGATCGAGTTGAACAGCACGCGACCGCTTGCGCATTTGCATAGCTTCGTATTCTGCCAGCGCCGCGGCCTGACGCGCGCGCGCATCTGCTTCGTCTTCAACAATGGCGTCCTCCATAAGTTCGTCCTCCATCTCCTCCGCCTCAGGTAAATCGACTTGATACTCATTCTGTGGCTTCGGAAGGGACATGAACGCACCCTTCAGAGACGCACTCGTGGACGCGGCGTGGGCGCGACGTTCGCGCTCTGACAAATCGGTGAAGTGCGCGGCGTACTGATCGTTGATGTGCAACCCGTCACGAATAGGCGTTTGTCCGTGCAGCAATGGCGTCGTGCCCATTTGCGAACTCACTTCGCTTCGAGACGGCGTCGGCGTCGCCCTAGTGCGACTGGGCGTCGCTCCCGCGAAATCGGTGGGCATTAGCGCCGCCGCCTCTTCACCACCGCCAAAGAGTGTGGACTTTTGGTTGCGGCGGGCCGCTTGCTGCTGCGCCTCTCGCAAGATGGCGTCTCCCTCAACCATGGGAGTGCGCATGGGAGTGCGCGCCGTCGAAGTCGCCGGAGTCTGCTCATATGAGCTTAAAAGAGCGGAGGCCGGCGTCGTACCGCCGTCATCGAGTAATCCACTCACACCCTTGCCCATCTTTGCGATGTCCTCTAACTCTCTGTCGGAGACTTGCGGCGTCGGTAGAAGCAACTTTGATCGTCGCGTGAAAGACGCATCGTTCGCCTTAAGATTTTGCTGAACCGCGCCTGGCATGTCCCGACGCTCTTGCATCTTTTGTCTCGCCTCGGCGAGCTTTTTGTTTGCCTCATCCATCTCCTTGGCTGACTTTTTGCCCTCGAGCTCAGCGAGGGAGATTGGCTTAAACACTTTTGCAGCTTGCATCTTGGCGAAAGCTTCGTCTTCTTCTCTTGTGTCGTACATCACCGCGTCCGGTTTTCGCTCGAACGCGATCTCGGCGTTGTAATCGACCCCGCGCACGCGCTTCGCCTTCCGCACGTGCGCGATGCCCGCCGCCTTGAGCTCTCGCTTCTTCTGCAACTCCGCCAATCTCCTCGCCTCCTCGAGCTGCTTCTCCCGAGCCTTCCGCTTCGCCTTCTTACCCTTCGTGTTCGCTAATCTCGCTCGCGCTTCGGCCAGCATCTCCTTCTCGTCCTCGTCCATATCCACCGCGTCCGGTTTCGCCGGCTTCGTCTCTGGGTTAGGATCGATTTCCCCCGGTCGCAGTCGTCGCGGATCATCCCCGGCGTCGTAATCCTCATCCTTCGCGCACGCCGCGTCGAGCAACTTCTCATACCGCTCCAAGCACTGACTCGGCGTCCGTCCGACCACCGGCGCGATCGTGCGCCACTGCGTCGGCATGAGTTTCGCCAGATGTAACAATTTCTCATCCTCCTCTCGCGTCCACTCCGTCTTCTTGATACTCGGATCGAGCCACTCGTACCATCGCGCCTTGCACTGCTTCGCGCTCTTCCGGTTCAACAGCGAGCTCACGCGGCTCCACTGGTTCTTTCCGTACTTCATCACCGCCGCCTTGAGGATCTCATCCTCGGTGTTTTTCCACACGCCGCCCTTGATTTGGATCCGCATCTTTGCGTGACGCCGTCTCGAAGCGGTTCGGTGGTGCGTTCACGGCACACGCGTCGTGCGCGGGCCGATCGGTTTGGCGCGTCGCGTGCGCGTCGGTGTCGGACGAGCGATACGCGCGCGAATGAGGGCGAATGGGGCGCTCCGCCTAGGGAACCGTCGAACGCGCGCGGTCGCGGTCGAGACGAATCGTTCAACACGACGTTTTGTATTATTGCAGTAATGCTACGGTAGCCGTAATACGTAATAGTTATTATCCGATGCGATCATCGTTATTAGATGGCCTCGGCGCCCCGCTCGGGCGAGACGCGTGGGAATATTAAATATCTGCGCGTGACGGGACGTCGACACGTTTAGACGTTTTGGGAACCCCTCTTTGAGTTGGAGTCTTCGTTGTACGCCTTGCCGCCGTGCATGGAGATGTCGAGGCCAGCCTTGCGTTCGTCATCGCCCGGAACAACCGGCATGACCTTTTCGATCGCCTTGATGGTGACGTAGCCGATGACGAAGGAGTACACGGCGCAGCCGACGACGGCGAGGAGTTGCTTGCCAAAGAGCGCACCGCCGGCTTCAAACGCGCCCCCAGTCATGTCGCTGTTGGCGAAGATGCCGATGCAAAGCGTACCGAAAAGACCACCCATACCGTGGACGGCCCAGACGTCGAGCGCGTCGTCGAGACTGTACTTGTGCGTGAGCTCGACGCAGGCGTAGCACCACGGAACGCACAAGCAGCCGATGACGAGGGCGGCCCAGGGCTTGACGTAGGCGGCGGCCGGGGTGATGGTGGCTAAACCCGCGATGGCACCGACGCACGCACCAACAAGCGTGGGCTTACCCGTCATCTTCCATTCGAGCAAAAGCCAGCAGAACAAGGCGGCGGAGGCGGAGATTTCAGAGTTCATCGCGGCGAGCGCGGCGTCGCCATTCGCGGCGAGCGCGGAGCCGCCGTTGAAACCGAACCAGCCGAACCAAAGAAGACCGGTACCGAGCGCAACGAACGGAATATTGTGCGGGTTCGTGTCGAGTTCTTCGCCCTCGAGCTTCTTTCTGTGCGGCAGAGCGAAGACGGTGGCGAGCGCGGAGAAACCGGCGGTGGTGTGCACGACGATGCCGCCGGCGAAATCCTTCACGCCTTGTCGAGCGACCCACCCGTTGCCCCACACCCAGTGCGCCCACGGGAAGTACACCAAGTGCACCCAAACCAAGATGAAGATGACGTACGGGACGAATCGCACGCGATCGGCGAACGCACCCGTCATCAAGCTCGGCGCGATGACGGCGAACATCCCTTGGAACCCCGCGAACACCAGCTCGGGCACGCTCCCGCCGTAATCGTTCGCGTTATCCATGTCCTCCAAGAAATAATGCGATCGCGCGCTCCCAATCACACCGTTCTTCGAGTGTCCAAAGCACAGGGAGTACCCCCAGGCGACCCAAACCACGGTGATGAGACCCATCGAGACGTAATTTTGCAACATGATGGTCAACACATTCGTGCTTCGCACGAGCCCGCCGTAGAAAAAAGCCAGTCCCGGGGTCATGAGATTCACGAGCGCCATGGAGACGATCATGAACGCGGTGTCGCCCGCATCGATCGCCATCGCGCGTCGCCGTCGACGCCCACGCGCGCGCGCGTGTGTCCACGCCGCCGCCGCCGCGGGCCCGCGTCCGCGTGTCGACCGTCGCGCGCGTCGCTTCGCACGCGCACTGTTCGCCCACACGCGCGTGCGTGTCCCACGACCGCATCGCCTCGAGGGTTTCCGTGGACGTCTGGACGTCCACGCGCGCGAGTCGCGACCGGTGGAAAAATCCCACGTGCGGTGGGATGGGCAAAAAAATCCCACGTGCGGTGGGATGGGCAAAAAAATCCCACGTGCGGTGGGATGGGCACGAAAAGCCCGCGACCGGTGGGATGGGCACGAAAAACCCGCCGACGTCCTCGAGGGACGATCGCGTCAGCTTAAGGTCCCGTGGTGATCGCGTCGTCGCGCGTTCTGTGCGTAAAAATCCGTGGTTTCATCACACGTCAAACGAAGCTCGTCGTGTCGAACTCTGGAGTCTACATGTACTGCGTCATGACTCGTCACATACGCAGGACTCGGGAAGGCGACGTCCCCGTATGTAGCCCACATACTGGAGCCCGTACGCCGCCGCACAGATGACGCCTGGGTCGCGATGGCCCGTCGCGATCGCCACCACACCCGCGTGTGCGGATCACTGTTTTCGCACTGATGGTCAATGCCGTCCTCGAATACGCACTCGCCCCCGCCTCGCGCGTGAGGGGAACCGAACGGGCGACGACCGACGGACGACGCGCGAGAGTCGAGCGCGTGGGCGCGCGCGGGGCGTCATGGCGCCCGCGCGCGCGCGCGAGGGACAGGTGATGCCGCGCGCGCGGGCGCTGGGGGCGATCGCGCGTCTGCGCGCGCGCGCGATGGGGAGCAGGGGGACGTTGGGGGATGCGATGACGGATGCGCTCGAACGGTCGCGCGCGCGGACGTGGACGACGGGCGGCGGCGATGAAGGACGGGCGAGCGATGGAGGACGCGTGCGAAAGGGGGGTGGAGACGTCCGCGATGAGAACGCGATGGGAGCATGGGGGTGGGGGGGTGAGAGGTGCGGAGCGCGAGACGACGCGCGACGACGCGCGAGGCGAGGCGCGACGACGGGCGAAGGGCGACGGCGCGCGACGACGAGGCGCGATCGAGCGCGCGCGCGCGCGCGTGAGACGCGTGAGATGTGTATTCGGGGTCGATCGATCGCGTGGGAGACGGATGGAACAGCTCGCGCGCGATGGAGACGACGACGGTCGAGACGACTGACGGTTGCGCCGCGCGCGCCGCACGCAGCGAACGGACGAAGAGCGCGAGAAAGAGCGGACGCGGGCGAGAGGGTAGGAAATCGTCCGCGGTGGTGACACCTGTTCGAGGTCTTCGCGCGCGCGCGTCCGAGAACGTTGAAAAGGTGCCAGGTGAAGAGCGAAGCGCCTCAAAGGCGGATACCGCGAAAGTTCCCCTCCAACCGAACGCGAGCTCGGCGCGCAAAGGGCGAGCGGTCGTTTCGACGAGCGCGGACGTCCAGAGAGAGGGGGAGTCGAAAAATAACGTCGAATCGAACGAGAGAGGTGGATCGACGCCGCGCGGTGCCGATGCGGGAGAGGATGAGGCGACGGTGAGTGCTCGAACGGCGCGGGTCCCCGCGTCGTATGCGGACGCGCAGACGCCAAAGAACGTGAAGAAGATCGCCTGGATCGAGCCCGCGGCGAACGAAAGGTCGGTGATAAGTGCGAAGAAAGGTCCTGCGCCCGATTCCACGGCGAAATCCGCTCTGGAGAGCACGAGAGAGAAGAGCGTGGCGGCGAAGGAGGCTGAGCCAATCGACGCGACGGAATCGGAAAAGATCAAGGGCGGACAGAGTCAACCGTCCGCGGGTGTGCCGAGCGAGCAGAAGAGACGTGAGCGAAAACGGGCAAACGGGTTGGCGTTCCTCAATGCCGATATTCCAGCGCTCGCGGCGAAGAATCCTCAAGCGGGTGGTGCTGTTGTGTCGACCGAGTTGAAAATCTCTCCGCGAGCGCTCGCCGCGCGCAAGGCAAAGGAAGCGAAGGAAAGCGCCGACTCCGTCCTGCCGACAGCGCCCACGTCTGCGTCGGTCGAGTCGAAAGAGAACGATGACGCGCCATCAACCGCGGCTGCGCCGGCTTTGGGGCCGCGCTCTGTCGTTCCGAAGGCTCCGGTGGATCAGCGCAGTCTCACCGAATCATTTATGATTCAGCCCGAGACAGTCTCCAGCACCGTCAATCTCGCGCCGCTTTCGTCGCTCCAGAAAATGGTGCCGACGCCGTCCCAGATCAAGGCATTTCAGTCGTTGACCACGCCCTCTACGCTTCAGAGCGGGCGAAGCGCGCAAGGCATCAAGCTTCCTGCCGCGATAGCGCCGGTGGCGAACGCGGCTGAGGCCAATGACGTGATGAATAGACTCAAGAGAGCGATGGAGGCCCGGTCCCGAGCCGACGAAGAAAATAAACGCCAATTGGAGAGTGCGTTACGGCAAAAGGAGGAGGAGCGCAAACGTCGTGAGAAGGAGATGGAAGTGAGAAAGGCGAGACACGCTGATGAAGAGGCGCGAGAGCGAGAGGAGAGGCGACTCCGCCAAGAGCGACTGGCGCAGTTCCGACTTCAGGAAGAGGAGGCGCAGAGAAAAGCGGCGGCTGAAAAAAACAAATGGGCGAAGATGCTCGAAGAGCAAAAGAAGGCGATGTACGATATTTCAGCGAAGCTCGCGGTGCCGATTTCATTGAAGAAGCGCACGAGTGGTCAAGCTGGATTCACGACGTCGTCCTCCGAGGCTGAAAAACGCAGGCGTTTGCTTGAGAACGCGCAAGCAGCGATACAAGGTCACTCGAATCAGCCCCAGCCTTCGGCCGGCATGCGGACTCCGACTCGTTCCATCTTTAGGACGAATTTCGCAACTGGGGCGGCGTCGACGCATCGCACACCGCCGGCTGAGTCCTATCCGATCTCTCCGTATTGCAGCAGCGATAGCGAAGACGACGATCGATCGAACAAACAGATCCCTCGCTGGGCTCGCGGCGATGCTCTCGTGCCTCAGCTCAAGGCGCAATCCTACGTCGATCCGGATGATATCTTTCCGAATCCGAGTCTCACGTGCAGCCTGGGGAAGATTTTCGCCAAGAAGAGTAGCCGCGATCGCCGTCGCAGTAGTAGCAACTGGACCCACGACAGGTTGACGCTCCAGGAAGAGCTGAGTTACAAACAGAAAATGGGATTCCGGTAACGTGAGTCTCGTTCTAGCACATGTAAATGAAGAGCTAATACATTTTATTGCAAGCAGCTGTCTACGCCTTCATGGGCTCTCCCTGTTCGTTCAAGCCTTCGACGCGCGGGAAAAGAGCGAGTTTTTGTACCTTGGTACCTGGCTTCAGCCCTCCCCACGTCGTGCGCTCATCCATCGTGCCCTCTCCCAAACCGACACCCGCGTCGAACTCCGCCATCTTGTTCGGCATCAACGGCTCCAAGAGCACGCACGCGATGCGAAGTGACTCTAAGCACTGGTACAGGCACGCCGACAACTCAGCACGCTTGCTCGCGTCCTTCGCCATGCGAAACGGTTCCGTCTCGGTGATGAAAACGTCAACGTCCATGATAATCTGCTTCGCCGCCGCAGCAGCGCGCGGGAGGTCCAACTTGTCGTACGCCTTCAGTGCGTCCTCCACGCACGCACTCGTGCGCGCCGGCATGTCCCAGTTTTCAAACGTGACTCTCGCACCGTTCAACTCTTCGCTCTGAACTTCGCCGTCGAAGTATTTGTTCACCATGGCTGTCGTGCGACTGACGCTATTACCGAGAGTGTTCACTAGGTCACTCGAATAAATTTCCTGCACGCGGTCCGCGCTAAAGTTGGCGTCGTTCGCTCCGATCGGTCCCTCGACGGCGAGGTAGTATCGAATCGCGTCCAATCCATAATGCTCCTTGAACCGATCCATGCACGCCAAGTCGACAAAGTTACCGAGCGACTTGGACATCTTTCTTCCCTCACGAATCCAGAACGCGTGCGCGTGCACGCGCTGGGGCAGCGGCAAATCGAGCGCCATGAGGAGCGCAGGCCAGATGACGGAGTGAAACCAAGAGATTTCCTTCGCCATGATGTGCACGCTCGCGGGCCAGTACTTGGATCTCTCGGAGTACACAGCGTCGTCCTTCCCGTCCCCGACGCCGATGGCGGTGATGTAATTCATCAGCGCGTCGATCCACACGTAGATGACGTGCTTCTCGTCCTCCGGCATCTTTATCCCCCACTTAAAGTTCGTTCGCGAGATCGGGACGTCGTTCAGGCCCTCGTTCAAGCGCTGAATCATCTCGTTTCGCCTCGCGCTCGGCGTCAAGAACTCCGGATTATCCGCGTGCAGCGCCTCCAACTCCTTTTGGAACTTGCTCAAGCGGAAGTAATAGTTTTCCTCGCTCGAGCGAACCATATCCTTCCCACTGATCGGACTCTTGTAGTCCAACTCCTTCGCCTTCGATTCGGTGTAATACTCCTCCTGTCCCTCGTCGTACCATCCCTCGAACTGGCCGAGGTACACCGCGTCTCGCTCCTGGAGTGCCTCGACGAGCGCCCGCACCTGACGCTCGTGCCGCGCGTCCGTCGTCCGAATAAAGTCATCGAACGAGATATCGTACGACGTCATCACGTCTCGAAACTTTTGACTATTCTCATCCGCCAACGCCTGCGGCTCGATCCCTCGTTTATCCGCGCTCTGCTCCACCTTCAACCCGTGTTCATCCGTCCCCGTGAGAAAGAACACATCCGCCCCTCGCGCCCGCGCGTACCGCGCGTACGCGTCCGCCACCGTGGACGTGTACACGTGTCCGATGTGCGGTTGGTCGTTCACGTAGTATATCGGCGTCGTCACGTACGTCGGCCCGAACGCGCGCGCGGCTTTTCCTCGCGTCGCCCGCGCGTTCGACCGCGTCGCCGCCACCGCGCTCCGTCGTCGTCCACTTCGCGCGTCGACCGCGGCGCGTCCGAGAGCGACGATCCCGCGTCGCGTCGCGCGCGCCGCGCTCGCCATCGTCGCCCCCGGACGCGCGCGCGCGTCGTCGTGCGAGCGCGACGACGGCGACGTCATCGCGCTTGGGTCGTTTTCGAGTCACATAGAAACAGTCAAACCGGCCTATCAAATGATACACTGATGGGTGTTTCCGTGCGCGGATACGAGTCACATAGAAACATACAAACCGGCCTATCAAATGATACACTGATGGGTGTTTCCGTGCGCGTATACGGGACCGTTTGAACGCCCGCGCGACAGACGACGCGCCCGACGCGTGACGCGCGCGCGATGTCCGCCGAACGCCGAAAGGTGAGCGCGGACGCGGGCGTGAACTTTGCCCTCGCGCGCCTGCGCGACGGCGAGGACGGACGCCCCGGATCGACCTCGGAGGTGCTCCGAGCGGTGAACGATTTGGAGCGAGAGGTCAAGGCGCGAGGGGTGAAACGAAAAACGTTGAACGATCTCTCGATCGCGGAGGCGTACAGGGAGGTGGTCGATCGCGAGGGCGGAGAGATCGCGGCGGCGATCGAGCAGGTGATGCTCGCGGTGGCGCGAAGCGTGATGCGGGGCGACGGGTTCGAGTACACGCTCCCGAGCAGAGGGGCGACGGACCAGGTGTACGTGGAGGCGCTGGATCGAATCGTGTTGAAGAATAAGACGACGCGAGCGGCGTTCGGGACGGTGAGTAGCGTGCGAAAGGTGACGATCTTGACGCGGGTGATGCAGCTCGTGCACGGAGTGCTGAGTCGAGGGATACACGTGACGAAGCGGGACCTGTTTTACACCGACGTGAAATTGTTTAGGGATCAGAAGGACTCGGACGCGGTGTTGGACGACATCTCGTGCATGCTCGGATGCACGAGAAACTCCCTGCACGTCGTCGCGTCGGAGAAGGGCGTGGTCGTTGGGAGGTTACAATACAAGGAGGACGGCGACGAAATCGACTGCACGAAGATGGGCGTGGGAGGAAAGGCCATTCCGAGCAACATCGATAAGATCACCGACATGCGCACCGACGCCAAGTTCGTTCTGCTCGTAGAGAAGGACGCCGCGTTCATGCGTCTCGCGGAGGATCGATTCTACAACAAGTACCCATGCATCATCATAACCGCCAAGGGGCAGCCGGATGTCGCGACTCGCCTCTTCTTGAGCAAGGTCAAGAGAGATTTGAAGATTCCGGTGTTGGCCCTGGTCGACGCCGATCCGTACGGGCTGAAAATTATCTCCGTATACATGCAGGGCTCTAAGAACATGGCTTTCGACAGCGCGAATCTCACGACGCCGGATATTAAGTGGCTCGGCGTGCGCCCGAGCGATTTGGACAAGTTTAAAATCCCCGAACAGTGTCGCCTGGACATGTCGGCGAAGGATATTGAGACCGGTCAACACATGTTGAACGAAGATTTCGTGAAACAAAACCCCGAGTGGGTGAAGGAGATCAACATAATGCTCGAGACGAAGACCAAGGCGGAAATCCAGGCGCTCAGCGCGTACGGCTTTCAGTACCTCACCAAGGTCTACCTCCCACTCAAGCTCGCCGAGGGCGACTGGATTTAATGCACCCTCGCGTTCGCTCCCCGTGTATTCGATGACGTAGTTTTGCCCACCCTCGATGACTTGTATGATCAAAATTACACTTTGTTTACCTCTCGGGACTTAAAAATCCAGTTTCAAAAAATCCGTGCACCCGCGCACGTTCGACCGCACACGTCGCCTTCGATGTCGCTCCCCGTCGAGCTCGTGCTCGCGATCGCGCGCGAGGTTTGGCGCGTCGAAGACGAATCCGCGCGCGCGCGAACGGGCGTCGAGCGCGAGTTCGACGCCGGAATCAAGCCCGAGGCGCTCGAAGACTTGGCCACGCTCGTCGAGGCCTTCATCGTCGAGGCGACGGCTCGGGCGTGCGCTTTAGCCGATATCGAGGGCTCGCGATCGATCGAGGGTGAACACATCGAACGCGTGTTACCGCAGCTCATGCTCGATTTCGCGGGGTGAGGTGGAGGCGCGACGGCGGGTGGCGTCTCGCGTGGCGCGCGCATCTTCGTATGACATTTATCGCTCCGGTTCGGGATTACCGGCGACGGAGACGATGTTGATGCAATAGCGGTTACCGTTTCGGTCGGGTAAGTTGTGCCCGAGGTGCGTGCCCGTGGTGCTCACGCATTCGCCGTCTCGCAGGCATCGAACGTTTTCGGAAACCATCTCGGCGTCTCGAAAACTCGGCCAGCCGTGCGCCCGGCTCTCCTTCTCGAACTCCTCCCACGTTCGACCTCTCGGGGCGATGAACAACGGGGCACCGGTGACGGAGTCGTAGTACGTCACCTCACCCTTACCCTGGACGTCGGAGATCCACGACGTTTGCCACGCGTACCCGGCGTGTTCGGCGTAATGTCGATTGAAGTTACAGATGCGATCGGTGAGATCCCAATCGACACCGTATCGCAGGTTCTTCATCACCGGAAACTCCGACGTGCCGTGTTGCTTTTGGCTCATCACGCTCTCGTCGGCGACGATCGGCAAGCCTCGCGCGCCTTCCGGAATGGGCGCGCCCTTGCACCCGTCGCTCACCCCCGGGATCTTCGCCCCGTCCAAGAACGCCCTCGGCGCCGGACACGACCTCGAGCTCGATTGTCCCATCGGCTTCGTTCTCGCGACGCCGAACGCGGCGGAGACGCGGTGTCGGGCGACGCGCATCGACGAGCGTCGACGAGTGTCGATTGTAATCGAGTGACGTCAGTTGGCACCTCTCTCGTCTCCGTGAAGTCATGTCCGGCGCGATCGCATCGCGCGCGCGCGGCGTGATCCCGCGTCGCGCGACGAAGGGTTCGACGCCGCGTTCGCGCGCGCGCGCGCGCGCGTCGACGCGGCGGGACGTGTTGATTGCGTGGCCGCTGCTGTATGCAGCGCTCAATCGCATCGCGGACGCCGAGCGCGTCGAGGCGAGCGAGGGAGGGAAGAAGCGGGTGGTGATCACGGGGGCGAACTCTGGGATCGGGCTGAGCGCGGCGACGACGTTGGCGCTGAGCGGGGAGTGGACGGTGGCGCTCGCGTGTCGCACGAAGGAGAAGTCGGAGCAAGCGCGGGCGGAGATGGTGTCGAGAGGGGTCGCGGAGAGCGACGTCGAGTGCTACGAGTGTGATTTAGCGGATTTGGACTCAGTACGCGCGTGCGCTCGAGAATTACGGAGGAACGGTTCGATCGACGCGCTGGCGCTGAACGCCGGCGTGGAGTTCAGCGGCGACCCCGTGGTGCATAGAACCGCGCAGGGCCTCGAGGAGACGGTGGGCGTGAATCATCTCGGCCACTTTTTGCTCACGAATTTATTACTGGAGGATCTGGAGCGGAGCGAATTGGCGCATCCGCGCATCGTGGTCACGGCGAGCGAAGTGCACGATCCCGCGTCGCCGGGCGGTTCCGTCGGCAACGGCGCGACGCTCGGTTCGTTGGAGGGATTCGAACGCGATGGTAAACGATTCGAGATGGCAGATGGCGGTAATTTTGACGCCGACAAGGCGTACAAGGACTCCAAACTGATGAACATGTTGTTCACGTACGAGTTGGAGCGTCGACTGCGCGAACGAGGATCCAAAATCACCGTCAACGCCTTCGGTCCGGGACTCATCACGAGAACCGGTTTGTTCCGCCACCAAAATCCTTTATTCGTCAAGGTGTTCGATTTCGCCACGAATGAGGTGTTCCACGTCGCGGAGACCGTGGATCGAGGAGGCGACTGCTTGGTGTACATGCTCGAAGAGCCTTCGCTCGAGGGCGTCGGTGGCGTCTACTTCAACAACGGACTCGCCCCGGGAACGCCTCCGACCGGCCACAAGTTCGAGCGCACGGATTCCTCCGTAGAATCTAACAATCAAGACGAGGCTCGCAAGCTCTGGGTCATCTCTGAGGATTTTGTCGGTCTCAATAGTAACTAGTGACTTGTAACACTCCTGCGCGCATAACCGCACTCTCATGCGCACCGTCGCCCGCGCGCCCGCGTGCGCGCGCCCGTCAACGAGCGGGCGTCACCCATCGCGATCGTCCATCGCTCTGAGCTCGCGCGCGGCGACATCGAGCGCGCGCGCGGCGTTTTTACAGATTTCACCGCGTCGCTCTTCGACGCGCTCTCGCGCCCGCGCTGTCTCCCCCGGGGCGTTCCTGTGGTGGAGCCGAGAGAAGGAGCTTCGCAAGCGATGGAAGCAGCTCTGTGAGTTCGCCGCGGACGAGATACCGCTCGCGTCGCCGCTCGCGTCGACGAAATCTTTGATTCGGTGGGTCGGGGAGTATCCGCTCACGGCGGCGTCCGCGCTCACGGCGGTGGCCGGTGGCGTCTCGGCCGCGATCTCGGCGGCGGTGATACCGGCGGTGATTGGTATCGCGGTCGTCGCGCTGCCCGCGGTGCTCTTCGCGGCGGTCGGAACCGCGGCGGTGGCGACGCTCGTCGGAGCGCTCGTGCTCCTGATGGCGCTCCCGGCGCTTGGATTCTTATCCGTGTTCGGGGGGACGATCGCGGCCGCGGCGAGCGCGAAACTCTTGCCTCTCGCTATCTTAGGTTCGGGACTATTGTTCGGCGCGAAAGCGATCGAGTTCGGGGTGAAGGGCGACGCGAGAGCGCAGCGGCTCAAGGCGGGCGCCGACGCCGAGCCCGATTCGTGGGCGCCGAGGAACGCGAACGCCGACGCCGACGAGGACGATGAGAACGCCGAGGACTACGAAGAAACGGTGAAGAGAAACTTCGATGAACGGCTCCGAGCGCTCGACGGTGAGAAGAAGAAATGAGTTCGATTGTAAATGCAAACCACCGACGCCGAGAGCCGCCGACTCAGCGTCCGCACTCCTCGCGGCGCTTTATCCATGTCCCTGGAGGAGGTCTCCACCGAGGCCCTCATGGCCGAGATCACGCGACGGCTGGAGTGTCAGAGTAAACCCGAGAAGCGATTGATACTCGTCGGTCCGCCCGGGTGCGGCAAGGTGCGTCGAGCGAGCGAGCGATGAAGTCCTTCAACTAGAGGTTTTCGATCGATCCATCGAGCTGACTTCGACGCTCGTTTCGATCCGTTCGCAGGGAACGCAATCGCCGAAGATAAAAAGAGATCACTGTTTATGCCACTTGGCTACCGGGGACATGCTCCGCGCCGCCGTCGCCGCGGGGTCGCCGAACGGGGTGAAGGCGAAGCAAGCGATGGAGAGCGGCGCGTTGGTCACGGATGAAATCGTAGTCGGCATCATCGAGGAGGCGATCAAGGCGCCAGAGTGCCGAAACGGGTTCATCTTGGATGGATTCCCACGAACTGTGGTGCAGGCGGAGAAGCTGGACGCGATGCTCAAGGCGCGCGGGACGGCTATCGACGCCGTCCTTGACTTTAAGGTCCCGGACGAGGTCTTGGTCGAACGCGTAGAGGGACGATGGATTCACCCAGCGAGTGGACGATCTTATCATACGAAATTCGCTCCGCCCAAAGTGGAGGGTAAGGATGATTTCACGGGCGAACCGCTCGTGAAGAGAAAGGATGATAACGCTGAGACGCTCAAGTCTCGATTAGCGGCGTTTCACACACAGACGCAACCAGTAATCGATTACTACGCCGCTCTGAAGAAAGTTACCGCGATCGAAGCGAATAAGCCGGCGTCCGACGTAGAGAAGCAAATCTCCAAGGCGTTGGCGTAATACTAACGGTTAATCCACAAACCCATCATCTTGTAATATAACTACTCTATGTCTCTTTCCATGAGAGGTTGCCCCGATTTTACCGCGTCCTTTTCTCCGTACATGAGCTCCGCCTCCGTGAGCTCACTCGCATCAAATTCGTTGTCATCGGTTGAGTCTCTCGGCGCCTCGAGGCCTACGATTGAGGCGAGGCGTTCAAAGAGTGGCCGGAAGGTCCCAGCCGCCGGTGCCAAGTCTGTTGTGCTCATCGAGGCCTCCGCCACTCTCTGAGCGGCCAAGTTCCTGATCTCAATGGCTCGGATGTCATCGCCCTCCTGTTCTTCCATCATGGCCCAGGTGAGCCAGATGCGTTCGCTACCCGCGTCTACGTTGACGGCGCACTTGAAGAGCTGGCGAGCGAGTGAGATGTTCCGCTCTCGACATTCCAGCACGCCCCACGCGTGGAACAGTCGAGCCGCATTTTTGTTTTTCGGATCAACCCACACGCCGCGTTGGAACAGATTTCTCGCCTTCTCGATCTCACCCGCTCGCCACTCCGCCAACGCCCAGGCGTTCCAGTTTGCCTGGTGCCTAGGGTCCATCACTGTGCCCTGCTCGAAGTACTTTCGCGCCGTCACGATGCTCCCTTGCTCCGCTTCGAGCTTCGCCAGCGCCTGCAATAGGTACGTGTCTAGCGGGTTCAGTTTGCATCCCTTTGTCAGTAGCTCCTTCGCTCGGTCGACGTATCCAATCTTCGCCTCCCAGGTACCCCAGGCGAGCCAAATGTACTTGCTCTTCGGATCAGCAGCCAAACCTTTCTGGAAGAGCTTACGTGCCTGGTCTTCGTCGCCCGATCGACCCTCTAAAATGGCCCAAGACTGCCAGATGGCTCCCGATTTTGATCCAGCCTCGGTGCGAACGCCTTGCCTGAAGAACTCCCGAGCCTCGGAGATCCGCCCGCGCTCCATCGCCATGACGCCCAGAGAGTGATAGAGATGCGCTGAGGCATCCGTGAGCGGAACCTTGCGGATTCCCTTCATATAAAGCTCTCTCGCGCGCTGATAGTTCCCCAAGTTCCTCTCCAGCGTCCCCCATCCATGCCAAGCGGCGGCGTGTTTCTCGTCAGCCGCCGTCGCCGCGTCGTAGTACTTCCTCGCCAACTTGATATTCCCGCACTTTTCCTCGAGTACGGCGAAAGCAGTCCACAGATACGCATTATCACCCCCCTTTGCATCGCAGCCGGCTTGGTAAATCTGTCGCGCTTCGTCGTACAGACGCATCTGCACCAAGATTTGTCCAATACCGCAATACGCCCGGCCATCCGTCACGTCGTACGACATTGCCTTCTCGAACATCGCGATCGCCTGATATCGCATCGCTGTTCGCTCTTCCTTCGATTTCAAGTACCCCGCCTCGTTCCGCAGCTTCCGAGCGCGATAGAGCGCCAAATCTTGATTGATCTTGAGCGGCTTCTGCCCCGCGCGCGTCGCCGCCTCCGCCGTTCCGAGCATCTGCATCGTCGACCCCGGACTCGTGAGCACTCCGGCGGAATCCCCGTTTGCCCTCCCACGCTCCAACACCGCGTTCTCGTACGTCAACGGTGCCGCGCGTGCGTCCCGATCGCCCTCACCTGAACCGCTCGTTCGCTCCCCGCCCCGTCCGCTCGCGCTCCTTATCCGCCTTCGTTCGCCGTCGTCATCGTCGTCCAGACTCATCGACGCGCTCGACGCGCGCGTACGAATATCTCGATCGAACCCACGACCAGCACGCTCGCTCTCCAACGAGAGCGTCGACCACGGAGCGTCGAATGTGCGCGATGACGTCCTCGCCGAGCATCTTCCGACATCTCTTCCGCGTCGCGAGCTCGCGACGGCGCCCCTGGTGCGTCCGCACGACGCGTCGCAATGCGCCGTGAGGCGCATGTGATGCGCTCGAGCGCTCGCGCCCCGCATTGAGGCGTGAACGACGGCGTCTGCGGCGCGATACGATGAATCGTCGCCAGCGTGGTGGACCTCCAAGGGTTTGGCATTCGGATCGTTGCACGCGTCGATGCGGGAAGAGAACGCGCAGGTAGTTCGGGCTAGGATGTGGTTGAATGCGCTTTTCAATCCAATTCTACGTTTTCAACGGGATCGAGCATGGGAGTGCGCCGACGGCGGAGACCTTCGGCATCGGGATCGGCGGGTTCGGTCGGTTCGACCTCATCAAAGCGAGGCACCTGTCCGTGAGGGGTGGCGATTCGGCGGTTTCCGACGACGCGCGCGCCGCCGGCGTTGACGTTTTCGACACCGCGGCGTTGATTTTGACGAGATTTGGTGAAGCCCAGAATGCTGGAACCGACAAAGGTGGGACCGATGTGCACCTCGGGATATTTGTTGGCTTCGCTGGATGAGGCATCCGGATTGAGCTCGCGTTCGCGTCGCTCGTGTGCACGTTGCCCGAGGAATACAATTCCCTGAAGCACCGACAACGCGAGCCATATGACGATCAGGCTCCACAACGATCCGCACCGCTTGATCGTGGCCAGGGCACGACTTTGAACCATAGTTTCCGCGTCTGGGCGAGCGTCGTCAAACGTTCCCTTTGTTATCATCTCCATCGCCTTCTGCACCTTTATGAACATCTCTCGCTTCACCGAATCGTTGCCGGTCTTGTCCGGGTGATACATTAGACTCAAATCTCTAAATCGTTTGCGTATCTCCACCGTGCTCGCCGTCCGTCGCACCCCGAGTATCGTAAACGGATCGTCTCCCTCTTCGCTCTCGTATCCCAACACATACGCATACCTCTCGAACCACCACCACATCCTCGCGTACTTCGCTCGCTTCCTGTACTTGATCATGCGCTCGAAGTACGGCGAATTGAAGTACGCCACGGCGAATATCACTAAAATTGGCGCCGTGCACGCGAACGCGACGGTCCAAATTACGAACGACCACGCGGCGCTCGTCCCAAAGTAATACCCGCGCGTCTCCTGCAGCGTGCTCACGCCTTGGAACAGCGCCAACCCCACCAGTAACTCCCTCACGCCGTCGCGTGTCCACACGAAGTACATCACAAACCCTAAGAACGGAACCATCGTCCACAGTCTAGGATACATCACGCTCTTGAACACCGGTAACGCGTACGCGGTGAGGATCAGAAACAATCCCAAGCGCGCGCTGCCGCCTCGGTATAAACCCCACTGCATCGCCCCCGCGATCGCGAAGTGAAACGCGAATCCCAACCACGGGATTTTCGCCCGTCGCCATGCCTCCGGGTGCACCTGTCCGAGCTTCACGAGCTTTGGAATCATCACGCACTGCTGCGTCACGCTCAACAGTTCTCGCAGGCTCCAGCTCAGGACGACGTGCGCGATCGACGCCAGGGCGCCCTCGACGTCGTCCGAGCTGAGCATGACGATGATCATGACGATTCGAAACCACGGGAGACCCATGTTTGGGCGCCGTCGAGCGCCGCGCGGGCGTGTGAGGGAAAGATGACAACGAGCGCGCTCCTCTGTTAGTTGGACGTTGGCGCGCGAGGCGACGGCGCGCTATTAATACCACGTGCGACGATGCCGCGAGAGACCGCGGCGCGGTACGAAGGAGAACTCGTGGACGAATCACTCGAGGGATCGATTTAATTCGCGAGCATGGAGGCGGAGACGTTGGAATCCTCGGCGGAGTCGGCGCGCGCGGCTTTGGCTTTGGAGATGGACGCGCTGGACACTCGAGCGCGCGAGCGCGAGCGCGCGTGTAAGGTGCGAGAGATTCGCTCGCGTTTCCACTGAACGTATTACATAAATACGCGACGTCGTACTCACTGACGATCGCGACGGATGATCGCGCGCAGGAGCTCTCAGAAGATGCGACGGAGACGAGCGGTCAAATGCGAAGACTCCGCGCGAGGCTCGAGCGCGTCGGAGAGATCGAGCGCGACATCGCGGCGCGATCGCGCGAGCACGCGTCGGCGCTCGAGCGAAGGGTTCGAGCACTCGAAGAAATCGTGCGCGCGCGCGACGCGGCGCTGCGTGAGAGCGAACAAGGGAGGTTTGAACTTTTGGAGAAGACGAAGCGTCTCCAGGCGGAGGCGGAGACGCGCGAGAGCGAGATCGAGCTCGGAGGCCTTCGCGCGAAGCACTTAGAGGAGACGTCGACGCGCTGACGGAAAAAGCGAACGCGCTCGACCGAGCGCGCGCGGACGTTGGCGCGTTGCTCACCAAGCTCGATGAGCACAAGCGCTCCGCGGCGGAGCTCGAGCGCCAAGTCGACCTTTATCGCGAAACCGCGCGCGTCGCCGAGTCCCGCCAACTCGCAGCCGAGCTCGCCGTCGCGAAGAGCGACGCCCTCGTCCGACGATATCTCACCACTCCCGCGGGTGAGGATCGTCTCGCCCTCGAGCGTCGCGTCGGCGCGCTCCAATCTAAACTTCGGGACCTCGATTCCAAGGAACAACGCGTCGCATCCGCGTTACGTCGTCGCGATTAATATTCACAACATCCATTCGTTCCGCCATCATCGCGTCACGCGCCGTCTTCAATTTTCTCTTCTAATCCCCCTTCGTTCGCGTTCGATCCCGGAGCTCCGTCTCGCATCTTCATCGCCTCCACCGCGTTCACTTTCCTCAACGAATCCGCCACCGCCTCCTGCGGGCTCGAGTACTGCTGAAAATCAACCTCCACCGCCCCTTCGTTGTACGTCGACGTCGCGACCCCTCCCGCGATGGCGCTCACGATGGCGACGATCACCAATCCCGCGCTCGCGATCTTCCCCAAGCCATCGAACGATTCGTCCGCCCAGGGATCGTCGACGAGCATCTCTGGCGGGAGCGCGTTTTGCTTCTCTGGAGTCAGCGGTGTCGGTTTCTCGTCGCTCGCGTCGCGCCCGCGCGCGCCCGCGCCGGAGATCACGCGGGGTTCGATCTTTGATCGCTTCGCGCGCGCGCGGGCGTCCCTCGGTGGGCACCGGAGGCGTGGGGCGGGAACGGTGCCCGGATGAACGCGCATGAGTGGATGAGTGCGGGGCGCGGGACGACACCCGAGCGGTTTTACACGCGAGAGACATCGACGGTGCCGGATCATTTTTTCTTCCCGGACGATCTCTTACGCTTTCGAGCGTATGATTTTTTGGGTTTGGATCCGGCGGCGCGCGCGCGGGGGGGGTTCTTGGCGGCGACGGCGAGCGCCCACTCGTCGTCGTCGCGCGGGAGGCGGCCGGATCGTCGCGCGCAGTTATCGCACGACCCGGCGCATAAGTCCGGGGAGATGCGCTCGCCGAGATACTCGAGCAGAGCGACTCGACGACATCGCGTGCGGTCCTCGAGGAACGCGCGCACGGCTTCGAGAAGGGGCATCGATTTCTCGAGCCGGCTCTTCTTGGAGACGCCCTTTTGCGGCATCTTGATGAGGCGCTCGATGCGAGATATGTCGCCGCGCGCGTAGAGCACGACGCCCCTGGCGGGTAACCCGTCGCGACCGGCGCGACCGACCTCTTGGTACAGACCTTCTAAACTCTTCGGCGCGCAGTGATGGACGACCCAGCGCACGTTTGGCTTGTCGATGCCCATACCGAACGCGATGGTGGCGCAGCACACGGAGACTTGGCCAGATTGCCACGAGTTCTGCACGGCGAGCCGCTGCGAGTCCGTCATACCGGCGTGATAAGCCGCCGCGCTGGGACCCGGCGCTAGACGCTCGCGCTGTCGACGCGCACGCGATTCATTCAGCGCCTTGGCCACGGTCTCCGTCTCGTCGCGACTGAGACAGTATACAATGCCCGCATCCGACGGTCCGAATTCGTCGGCGATCCAGTCTGCAAACTTTTCCAAGTCGTGCAAATCCCTCTTCGGCATAACCGTAAAAGAGATATTCGGGCGGTTGAACGTTACGAGGAACGTCTTCGCCGTCTTCGTGATCTTCAAAATCTTCATTACGTCCGTGCGGACTTGTAACGTAGCCGTTGCCGTGAGCGCCGTGATAGGAACGTTCGGGTAATCCTTTCGCAGGCAACCTAAAGCCTTGTAATCCGGTCGAAAGTCGTGTCCCCAAGACGACACGCAGTGCGCTTCGTCGATCACAAAACGCGTCAACATCCCGTTCGAGTCCAATTGATGGAGTATATCAGCCAGTGTCGCGCTCGATGCCAACTTTTCTGGTGTGACGTACAACAATCGAATCGTCGGCTTGCGCTTCCGCAGTTCTCTGAGCACCGCCACTGCATCGCCTTGCGACTGCGCCGAGCTGAGAAATGTCGCCGGTATTTGGAAATCCTTCACTAAGTGCGAAACCTGATCCTGAATGAGCGAAAGCAAGGGCGAACACACGACGGTGACTCCGCCTTGTAAAGCAGCCGGAAGCATGTAGCAGAGCGATTTCCCGCCGCCAGTGGGCATGAGGACGAAACAGTCTTTTCCGAGTACGCTTTGCTCGCACACTTCGCGCTGGCAGTGTCGAAACGAACCGTTCTTGAAAATCATGACGTTCGCTAGATCGAAATCGTCCATGTCCTCCCAATTCGTAGGCGCGCTCGCGGACGCGCGATGCGCGCTCGCCGTCGCCGCCGTCCTCGCTATGGGCGCCGTCGCCGCCGTCGCCGCCGTCGCCGTCGTCGTCGTCGCCGCCGGGGCGCTCCGATGCTTCACCCCTGCCATGGCTAAAATCGCGTCACCGCGTCTAAATTCCACCCCGGTCGAAGTCCCACGACCCATGAACGCGGGCGCGGTGGCCTCGGCGTATCCGCGCTCGCGCGTCCACGCGACGCTCCCGCCCATGACGTTCCTCCCCCCCTCGAGCCTCTTCAACGCACGCTCGCGCTCGGACTCCTCCTCGGAGTCACTCAGAATCACCACGTCCGCGTCCATCTCCCTCGCGCTCGCCCGCGCGCCCGCGTTCGCCCGCGCGCCGTTTGAATATTCATCCGACGCGTCCGACAGCTCCACCTCCAACAAAGAATCATCCATTCGTCTCCCTCCCCCCGACCCGCTCGCGACGTTCAGGACGTCTCGTCCATTTTCCTTCTCCCCCTCGCTCCCGTCATCGATCGTATCGTCTTCGCTCGTCATCGAATCATCCCTCGACGCGTCGTCGTCGAGCGCGTCGAGTTCGTCTTCGCTCCGCGCCAGGACGTAATCGATAAACTGCTCACCCGCGTTCGCCGACGTCACGTCTCTCGCCGACGGTCCGTACGGCTCTAAGAACGCCCTCGCGAACCGCCGCAGCGTCCGCCGAGGCGTGGAGACGAGACGCGACGCCTCGGCGCGCGTGACGAGTGATTCCACCACCAGCGACATCGCGTCGTCCCGCGCCGTGCGCGTCGCCGCCGACCGCGCCGACGCGTCGAAGAGCTCCCGCACCGTCCGCGTCGTCGTCCCGCGCGCTCGCGGCGACCGTCGACGCTTCATGGCGCGCGGCGAAGTGTTCACACGGTCGCACATCGCCCCACGCGTCATCGCGCGACGCCCATCGCACGCGCGCGCGCGCGCGAGGGTCCAGCGCGGCGCGCGCGAGCGGTGACATCGCGCGCGCGGCGTCGACGCGGGCGCGACGTCGACGGCGGCTCGCGCGGCGTCGGTGGTGGGTCGATCGCACATTCTCCGGCGAGGACGAATCATGACACGCGCGCGTCGTCTCGCGTCGACGCTGGCGCTCGCGGCGGTGCTCGCGCTCGCGCTCTTGTCGCGCGCGGACGCGGCGGCGACGGAGGGCGCGCGCGCGCCGAGCGAAACCGCGGTGGGGCCAGAGGGGAGGGTTTCGGCGCGGCGACTCGCGGGGTCGGGACGATGGCGCGAAGAGGCGCGCCCGCCGCCGCCCGCGCCGCCGGCGCCGCCGATGACGAGCAAAGAACGGCTGCGGGCGTCGTTTGAAGCGGCGCGGGAGGAGGTGGAACGCCGGCCGTGCGCGCCGAGCGGGGTGGACGGCGGACGCGCGGCGAAGTGCGCGCACGTGCGACAGACAGAGGCGTGCGAGGGTAGGTTGAAAACGTACCTCGAGTACGCGTACTGCGATGACGCGGGATCGACCACGACGGTTGGACCGATCGTGGTGCTGCTGTTGATGGCGGTGGGGTCGACGTACGCGCTCGCCGTCGCCGCCGGGACGTTTTTCGTACCGGCGCTGGAATACGTGTCGACGCTCATGCGCTTGACCCCTGAGGCGGCGGGGGTGACGCTCTTGGCGCTCGGAAACGGAGCACCGGATCTTTACGCCCAAGTGAGCGAGATATCCGAAGGCGTGCTTCCGAACTTGAACGTCGTCATCGGGTCGACGCTCGGAAGTGGCTTCTTCATCGCCACTGTGGTTTTAGGCGTCGTCATCTTGTCCGCGCCGAACGAGCACGTGGTGATAAATAAAGACATCCTCGGTGCCTCGATTGGGTTGTTCGCGATGGCAAACATCGCGCTGATGCTTGCGATGTGCCTCGGAAAGTTCAAGACGTGGTACACGGCTTTCTTCTTCTTCGCGTACGCGGCGTATTTGAGTTTCATGGTGGTGCAAGACAGATCGCAAGAGCGCGCTCCGAAGCAAAGGCCCGACGTCGAGACGGCGAGCGATAAGCGCGAGGAGCCGCTCTTCGATCTAGCCGCCGCCAAGGGTGGGCCAGACGACATCAAGGGCTCCGTGCGACCGATGAAGACGACGAGCAAGGATGGTGACGGTATCATCGCCTCGTGCACCGCGGACATGAACGTTTACGAGAAGAGAGCGTCGTGGATCACGATTCCGATTCGCGTCGCCATGGCGTACACAATGCCCGTCGTTCGAGCGGGCTCGATGGATAAAGTGTACGCCATCGCGCTCGGGTTCATGGGGCCGTTGTTCTTCTTGTGCGCCCCCGGGAACGATTTTCTCAGCGCCCTGGGCGGCAGCGACACCATGACCACATTCGTGCTCAACGTGCTCGTATCGGCTTTGTGCTGCTTCGGCGTCTCGTACGTCGTCAGTACGCAGTACAAGACGGCGCCGCTCCCTGCGGCGACGGAGTTCGCGTCCATGTTCGCCTTCGTGCAGTCCATTTGCTGGATGCACCTGATGTCCGACGAGCTCGTTCTCGCTCTCGGTGCGTTATCCAAGATCGCCGGCGTCGATGAAGAGATCTTCGGTGTCTCGTTCGTCGCCTGGGGCGACGGGCTCGGCGATCTCATCGCCTGTCGCGCCGTGGCCAAGGCTGGACAAGTCACAATGGCCGTCGTCGCGTGCTTCGCCGGTCCCGTCTTCAATCTCTTGATCGGTCTCGCCTCGTCCATCGCTTTTTTGACCTACGTCATCGGTGACATGCCGTACAGGGTGAAACAGGGCGAGCTCATCCTCTCCATAGGCTGTCTCTTCACCGTCATGTTCACCATCTCGCAGCTCGTCAACAAGTCTCCGAAGGAGTTCGAGATGAAGCGCACCGTCGCCCTGGCATCCTTCGCCACCTACGGCGCCTTTCTCATCGCCTACTTCTTATGCGAGGCCAGGATTCTCTTCGCCCAGGCGTGACTGTAATCGAATAAAAACAATATTTTGACGTCGACCCGTCCCGCTCGCCGCGTCGCAACCGCCGCGCCGTCCCTCACTGTCCACCGCTCCCGAGCGTCATGTCCGGCGCCTACCGCGCCCTCGTCGCCGTCACCGCCAGGTCAAGATTCGCCATGTTCGCCTTCACCGCGTCCGTCATGGTGGCTCTACCGCTCCTCGGGACGAAGCTGATCATGGGCGCGACGAACCCAGAGCAAGACACAGAGCGCGAGAACGTGTTGCGGAAGCGTCACGGGATGGATTCGCGAGCGAGGACGAATCGACAGCGCGCGGATTTGATGCACATGCTGCGAGACGCGAGCGAGGGTGGAGAGAAGATGGACGCGCGATGGAAGTCGGCGCTCGGCGTGCGGAAGTGAGCGATTCGACGGAGCGGAGGCGCGTCGCGCGCGGAGGATTTAGATGTACCTGTAGTTGTTGATTACCTTGTTTTAATGCGTTAATGCGTGATTTTAGTCTATGTGTTTGACGATGCGAGCGATCGGGACGGCTAGGGCGGGGCGCGGGCGGCGAGGCGGTCGATGACGACGCGGGCGACGTCGACGCCGATGGCGTCGGCGGGTCCAGCGCCCTTGCCTTGGCATCCGGCGACGGCGATGACGTCGCGACCGACGCCGAGAGTTTGGACCTGTAGCGAACCATCGCTCGACGTGGCGTACGCGCACGCCTTGGACGAGAGGCTTTGGAAATTGATCCCCGGGAACATGTGGAACAGGATGTCGTGGAGTTGGTCGGCGACGACCTCATCGCCGTCGCTCGACATCCACTCCGCGAGCTCGCGCTCGGTCTTGATCCAACTCGCGTCCGTCTTGTCGAAATAATCGAGCGGCCCGCCGCCGATCTTGACGTACCATCCCGCCGAGGGAACTGGTCCGGGGTAATAAATCGGAGGCAACACGTACACGGATTTCGCCTCGTTCGCGCTGTGATCGCTCCCGGCGCCCTTAGAGACGCGACGCACGCGCGCGGCGTCTAGGATGGCGCGAGGAACCTCGTACTTAATCGTTGGCATCCCCGCGAGCGCTCCGGTAACCTCCGACTCGAGGACCTCGGCCAAGAGCACGGTGCGTCTCGCGATGCGCACTTCGCCGAATCGCGTCGCGTCCTCGTCGCCGTCATCGATCAATCCGCACTCCCTGGCCAACGGCTCGGTGTAGTACCCGCACGCCATCACGCACACATCACACGTGTACGCGCTCCCATCATCGATCGTTACCGTGCACTTGTCACCGTTCGCACCTCCCGACTCGACGCGCTCGCCCGTCGCCCGAACGACCATCGCGTTCCCCTCGCTCGCCTCGCGCATCAGCGCGTTCTGCGCCTCGCGCATCGAGTGCGGATTCACGTATCCACCGACGTCATCCCACACCGCCTCGTACCCCTCCGGGACGTCTTTTCGCGTGAAAAACGTAAACCGTTCCCCGAACGCGTCGTCCGCCGTCTTCGCCCTTCGATGCGCGACGTCTCTCGCCCGCAAGCGCGACGCCCCTCGCTCGACGAACGTCTCGCTCCCGATCGCCAACGACCCACGCTTGGTAAAAAACGTCGTTCCACTCCTCTGTTCCATCTCTTCAAACCCCTCGATCGATCGCACGTTCACATCCGTCCACTCGTCCCGACCCTCCGCGTCCAGCGGTCGCACGATCCGTCCCAAGTCATCGCTCCCGCTCGTCAACCGTTCGCTGTCCAGGACCAGGACCCGGCGCGCCCCCAACGCACAGACGTGCCTCGCGACCGCGCTACCGATCGGTCCGTTCCCGAGGACGATGACGTCGAACGACGATCCGGGCGACGGGCGCGCGTCCCGGGCGCCGCGCGTCGCCGCCTCGC